AGGAAAAGACACACCCCGCCGTGAACACGTGGGTGATGGGCCAGCCAGGCTGATGTGCGAGTGGATCTGAGCGTGTTGTTGATGGGGCAATTCCTCTGCCAGGGATCCAGGAAGGAAGGAGGAGGGTGAGTGTGCTAGATGGGCGGGGGGGGGCCACTGTCTCTCGGTGGCATTGTCTTCAGGGCTGAAGACGGCCTTGCCCAGCAAACACTTCGGGTCTAGGACAGCTTAGCCCGTTACCACCCCGGGGTTCAGATGCAAACAAGGCCCCTCTTCCTCTTTCTTGTCCTGTACGGCCAACCGGGGTTGGTCAGGCCTGCTGCCTACGGCGCCGGCGAGAGTTCAGAGCAGGAAAAAAGCTCTGCCTTCAAGGAGTTCCTAGTCTGAGAGGGCAGCAAGTCCCAGCACGGAGACATAACCAGAGAGGAGGAGGCTCAAAATGCTTGGGAAGCGCCAGGCTTCTGTGGTGGAGGCAGGCATTTGGAGGAAGGCGAGAAAGAGCATTCGCCGGAGGAAGTGGCCGAGCAGGGGGCGCTGCAGAATGGGGGGCCGGTGCAAGAGGCCCTCCCACACGCCCCTTACCTGGCCCAGCGTGTTCACACGGGCTTCGACCTGCCGCAGGGAGGCCGCCTGTAGGTCCAGCATCCGTAGAGTGTGTCCGGCCAGGTTGCCTACTTGATAGGCCACACTGGCCAGAGCCTGGGTGGTGAAGGCCATGGTCTCCTCCAGCGCCCTCCGCTTGTCTGTGGCCTGAAACACACACGGCCCTGGTCTGAAGCCAGCCCAAGGATTCCGCTGGATCCTTGGCTGGGCGGGTAGGGTGGGAGAGGGTGGAGGGAATGTGGGGGCTGAACTTTCTTTCTTTTTGAAAGAGAGAGAGAGACAGAATGTGAGAGACGGGGAGGGGCAGAGAGAGAGGGAGACACAGAATCCGAAGCAGGCTCCAGGCTCCGAGCTGTCAGCCCAGAGCCCGACGCGGGGCTCGAACCCACAAACCGTAGGATCATGACCTGAGCCGAAGTGGGAAGCTTAACCGACTGAGCCACCCGGGTGCCCCAATCCCAGCCCTTCTAACCAGAAGCCCTGGAAATGCGGCCAATGAGTCTGTGCCTTTAAAAGCTCCCCAGGTGACTCTCGGGTTTCTTGTCTTTCTCCAGTCTGTGGGGTGGTGTTTGGGAACCAATGACCTAGTCCATTTTATAGACAAGGAAACTGAGGCCCAGAGACGAGTGACTTCATTCATTCATTCCCTCAGCGTATTGGGAACAATACACTGATAATCCGGTAAATCCAGACTTCCAATCATGGCCTATATAGGGCCCCACAGGGTGGGCTCTGCTTTTCTGTCCCCCCTCATCCCTTGCCACCCCCTCTCACGCACCCCCCCACTCCATGCACATTGGCCATTAGGTTCCTGTTCCTGATCAAGCTAAGATTGTTTCTACCTCAGGGCCTTTGCACTTACTGTACTTATTTCCAGGACCCTTATTGTTAAGTCTCAGCTCCTTAGAGACATATTTTGTTACCACCTTAAGATTCTCCTAGCCTATTTCTGTATTGGCTCTCTTCCGTGTTTCTCCTGTAGCCTTGTCCTCATAGCACTTAGCACTGTCAGAAATGATTGATCTATTTACTTTATTACCTAGCTCCCCCTCCCATCCGCCCTCCCATATACTAACACGTAAGCACGGTGAAGGCAGAGAGCCTGTCTGTTTTATTCTGTACCCTACCCCGGAACAGTGCCCAACACACAGACAAGATTTAATAAATACGCGTTTGTGAGTTAAGTAATGAATTGACTGTGACCCCAAACACTTTCTGGGCATCTCCTTAGTGCATGGCAGGCGCTGTGCCAGGTGCTGGCCGGAGTCACACTGCCAGTCAGCCGTGGAACGGTGGGCAGGGAATGGCCGAAGACAGAAGAGGGTTTTGCTTGTTTGTTTGTTTTGTCTTGCTTGTTTTGTTTTGTTTTCAGTGCCCCGTCAGACCACAGGGGGCTGGAGCAAAACTTCTCTGTTATTTGGTTCCCCACGCAGCTTCCTCATCTCAGGTCAGATCATGACACTGCTGTGATTTAGCCTGTCCCCCTCTCTAGGGGGTAGGGGTGAGTCCAGGGCAAGTCTGGGCCAGGCCCGAGCACTGACGGACAAGGCCGCACCATGCTGCCCCCTTGCTAAAGGCCCTTGCGTGCTCCTCAGGGCCCGTCGGCGGAGAGAAGGCGTAGAACCCATTAGAGCAGGACGCCTCCAGGGTGGCCTGAGCCAGGCTGGAGTCAAAGGGCAGGCCCAGATCCTTGTGGGCGGCCCTTCCCTGCCTTTCTGTTCCAGCAGCTAGATACTCATTTGCCCGGAGTTTATACCTCATCAGCGTATGTAACCAAGAGCCTTGAAAAGGCGAAGAAATCAACCTGAAATCAACCTGGGGTGTTTAAACCAGAACGATAGCAGGTCTAGTTTCTAGTTCAAGACCTTTCTTTAACAGGTGAGGACACAAAGGCCCAGAATGGGGCAATGACGACTCCTCCTTGGTCCCCACCCAGATTCCTCCCCCCAGGTCCCCTGCTAGGACCGATGTGTGGACCGGTTAGCCCAGATAGCACAGTGCCTGCTTGGGCCCAGCTCTGGGAGGCTGGGGCCTGGATACCTGCTGACCCCTGGTTTGGGCTTGGCCCACAGTCGGGCCTGCAGGTATGAGGGTGTGAGATCCACCTTCATGGCCCGCTGCTCATTCATGATGCAAATTACCTTGTCTGTAAACTCAGTGGACTCTGACCGAGAACTCTGCAGTTGACCCCAGCCTGCCCTCCCCCATTCCCCACGGGTTTCCTGACACCTGGTTGGGGCCTTGGGGCTGAGGGAGGGGGCGGTGGGGAGGCCCGAGGGCATGGGAACCAGGCCTGGTTTAAGAGCAGTTCTGAGGGGCGCCTGGGTGGCGCAGTCGGTTGAGCGTCCGACTTCAGCTCAGGCCACGATCTCACGGTCCGTGAGTTCGAGCCCCGCGTCAGGCTCTGGGCTGATGGCTCAGAGCCTGGAGCCTGCTTCCCATTCTGTGTCTCCTTCTCTCTCTGCCCCTCCCCCGTTCATGCTCTGTCTCTCTCTGTCTCAAAAATAAATAAATGTTGAAAAAA